TGTATGTATGTATGATGTGTAGAATGTTGGAGATGACCTGCCTGCTGCAGTGATATTCTGATTTTAAATCATTGTCCTGTACATTACAGTACATAATTAAAAAGCGAAATCAAAAACAAGAATTTCCCCTAGAGTGCTCTTATCTCAATCTCTCACCCCGACCTTTCCAACATCTCTTGATCCGTGTCCCTATAAAATTCTTAATTTTCCTATTATGAACAAGTACGCATACAATAATTACAAGAGAGCGTGACAGTTTCAATCCAATTTTGTTATTAAAGGACTTGTGAAATATAGCTGGAATATGACGTTTTAGGATCATCATTACCTAATAAAAAGATGTGCCAAATTTGGAATTTAAGGATTTGTATGTCCTTACTGCAAACCTGCCAGAAATTAATGAGGTAAACAAATCTGCGTTGTGACGTCATTTGTACCTGAATTCAGGTTGCGTAATCTGATCCACATCAGTCCACGCTGGGAAACATATGCGCAAGCAGATTAGTAGTAGTTGTGTTGTAGAGCTTGCTAGGCTCCACAGGTTAATTCATTACTACTTAAACTACCCTAGTAATTAGAAGACTAAAAGAGCCCAGGCCTGTGACTCACCATTGTCTGATTCAGGAATGTCCCTCTGAATAGTGTAAGTAAGTCCGGGCTGAGTTCCGACTTCGACTTCCGGACTGTCCTAGTCCTAGTTCTCCAAGTGCAGCTCTCGGCGCCTCCGGCCTCAGACAGCGTGGTCCGTGACATCACAGGGTTAGAGGTCAGGTTTGTTTACAAATAGTCCAGGCACTGGCACTAAATTATCCCCTGTTTTCTTTCGGAGCGGTTCGGAGCGGGGGCCTCCACCGTTCTGACACGATCTGGTTACTCTGACTTGAAATTTTGTTTCAACCTGGGCCTCTACTACTGCCCTCTTCCCCCTTCTCTTTTCTGAAACAATGGGAGGATACTGAAAAGCGAAATGCTCGACTGTGCCATATATCCCACGACCCGCGGAATGGACCAAGAACAAATAAATGGGATGGGGACTGTGGTAGATCCCCGTGCAAAAAGGAGCTGGAACACCCCCCCCCCCACATGCACAGCCTGTGTCTTCGAGGGTCTTCAAAGATGTTTTGATCCTTGAATACACCCAGGCGAGAAAGAAAAACACCTAAAGTTACCGTATACATAGCAGATGCATACGCCACTAGAAATGTGTTGATCCCTAGCAGCTGTAACAGTCACAATAAGAGATGGGTTTATCTCTAAAACAGAGCAGTCGCGCTCGGATAGAATTCAGCTCGAAGACACCTCAGTAGGTGGTATTAATTTTGGGTAAGACAATTAGGTCTTAATTTAGATTGGAGTCCCTGACTCCACAACCACATACACAAAAGACTCGCCCTGTATGAAAGGGACGAGGTATCGCCAGACTGGTGCCCAGGCACCACAGGAACTGTTCTGAAATGCAAAACATATATGGTTAGTACAACATAATGCTGTGGAAAAAACATACATTATGGGTTAATTGTCTCATCCAATGCCGAATGATGTGTGCTGAATTATAGGCGAACACACGCCTTGTTATGCATCTAGACCCTTAAGAAAAATAAATGAATAAGCAACAACAGGGTCGGGACTGTGGCTAATCCCTAAAGAAAACGCTCCTGGACGCATAAACTATCTCCAGTGTGCCCCAGGAATGGTTTGATCCCTGGATGCTATAAGACTGGGGCAAGAAATCACCCACGTTACTGTACATATATGAAATATGTACACCACTGAGAATGTGTTTATTCTCAGCAGCTGAAACCAAAACTGAAAGAGATGTTTTGATCTCAATAATGAAATAAGCCGCTACGGGAAGTAGAATTTGGCTGGAGATATTGCAGCACGGTGGACGAATTTTGGGTGAGATTCCTTTTAATCTCAATCTTGAAAGGAACCTCGAGAGTCCTCCTTGCCACATAACCCCGTAGGCCTAACGCCTACTAAACTCCAAAACGAGCACGCCTATAGAAACATCAAAAAATCAACCTCGTGAAAGGAAAAAGAAATAAAAAAATAAAAATAATTCCTGCTGCAACAAAATATTCCCCGACTAAATCAAAGAATTACTAGCCCCCGAAGGGGTACCAAGAGAAGACACCATGTCCCATTGGGAGCATTCACCACTGAAGGGTGGCAAGAGAAGAGACAATGCTCAAGGAACATTGACGAAGGGCAGCAAAAAGAAAGGCAATGTCCAATCCGGAGCATTCGCATCTGGAATGGCAGCAAGAGGAAGGGCAATGTCCAATCCGGAGCATTCGCATCTGGAATGGCAGCAAGAAGAAAGGCACTGTCCAATCCGTAACATTCGCCCCTGGAATGGCAGCAAGAAGAAAGGCAATGTCCAATCCGGAGCATTCGCATCTGACTCGCTAGGCTGAGTACGGAATTCCAGAAAAACACTCACGGCCCCAGCAATGTAAGGATAGTGCAGAGGGAATCATGTCAACAAGTACTAAGCCCCGAAAGAGGACGATGCTGATGGTGACGATTTGGAGCGTCCACACCAAGAAAGGTGCGCTCCAAAAATGTCATCATCTCCAGCACAATCTGAAAAAGGGGGTGGTGCTAACACCTTAGGAGGAAAGAGAGCGCTTAAACGCGCGCAAAGTGGACATGGTTAATTCTAACAGGGCCAACGCCCCATCTACCGCTGCTGGTGACTGGGAGTCCATAACAGTCTCCTGCACTTGATGCAGACGCCTGGCCACTTCGACGGTTGGGTCTTGTCCCCCCGGGGAGCTGCTGCTGCTGCCACGGGCCTAGAAAGCCCTCCGAATGCATCCATGCGCTCAGGTGAGCGTGGACGGTCGAGGGGAGGTGGAGCTTGCCTCTGCAGTTCATTTGAATTACCAGCCCGTTCCCTTGCGTCCGGTACTGGCTCATTATGGCGCTGATTATCGCGCCGTGGAGGTTCCACTTCCCTAGGTGGGTCAGCATGTCCCCCTTCCTCAGGTCGCATCTGAGGGGTAGGAGAGGCTTGTCGCCTCGGGATAGGTTGAACTCCCGGTGGTAGAGGGCGAATGAACCCACGCTCCTCTGGTCCAAGTGGCGTTACGCCACCATAGGTAGCGTTGAGCTCGCGCACAGCAGCCGCATCGGCTTGCGCTACCATAAACAACAGACACTTCATATGAAGCAAAGCTACTGCGCACCCCACAGGGCGGAGGCGAACATCGTTCACAGGCGCCTCCCCTGCTGCCCTAGCTACTCCATTCATGATGGCCAGTAACCTGGCGGTCACCAAGTAACCTGGATGTATGTAACCGCTTTCGTCAATTAGACGAGCCACACGGCGCAAGTCACTGTGCGTTCTCGGAACCAGCAAAGCAAGGTTGCGAAGGTAGCGCCAGTGTCTCGCCGACACTTCAGGGGAACAATCCGCATCTAATTCGGTCATAAACTGAGGTACATGTGCGGCTATATGGTTCTTCGGGTTGTCCAATACCTGACCACATCGCGGTACTGGGCAGTCAAAGGGTCTCCTGGACTTGTAAGGCAAAACGCCATGGCCGTGGCATGGATAGGGGAAAGCCCGGAAGACACATTGCAAACGTCACCGGTGCTAACCGACGGATACACACTAGCATACCCGGTCGTGGGACGAGCGGAGGCGCCTCGTCAGACTGCAGGGACATGGGTGGCGATCCGCCTTGCGGTGCCAAAACGGCAGGACCAGGTTCCTCGTTCCCTGACAGGAAAGAATCTAGAGGCGAATCAGCGCCTAAATCTGGCGGAGCTGCTGCCGCTCCAAGTAAAGATAGAGAGAGTGGAGGCATTGGCCCTCCTGGCGGTGGTGCAAGGTCCGCCCATGACGGTGGAGGCGCTGAATCTGGTAGATCCCGCTATGGTGGCTCGTGAACCATCTGGTCGTTGTCGCCTTGTTCCATGGGGAGTGGAGTTTCACGGCCACTTGATTCCTGAAAGATATAAAACAGAGGGATTAACACCCCTAGATGCATACTAAATGTGGCACTGAGGTTATACCGCAGCGCAAGGTGGACACCTATAGCGGTCAATGTCAACCGGCGCGATATTTACACAAACACCATGGTACCATTCGCCACAATAGTCGCATTCGATCATGAAACGGCCTTCCCACGGTTTCTTACAAAGGCAATACAACTGGTCATCTTCCTCCACCTCGTCGTCGGTCGCAGGAGGTGGAAAACCACCAGCCAATTTGGCATCTCGCGGTCACGACAGGGTATAAGTTTGTCATGATGTGTAATCATGACTGAGTTACGAAGACGCACGCGAAACGCATACGGTGCTAGGACCTCCGTGATTACGCCTGGACCTTTCCACGGCGAACGTAGTTTCGCACTTTTGCCTTTGACGACTGTCTGGTCAAGTACATACACCTTGTCACCGACCTGATATGTGCGTTCAAGGAGTTTGAGGTCATAGTTGCGTTTATTGCCACGTTGCATGGCTTTAAGGTGAGTTCTAGCGAGGTGATGCGCCAACCTCATATTCGCCGTTAAGCGGACGGGGTAGGACGCTTGGTCAGAAGTCGCGTTC